CACATCCCCCCCCCCCAAAATAACAGAAATTGTCATTCCCAGTAAACAACTGGCTCTACCAGTCCCTGCACAAACTCCCTGTCTCTCCCTCTTACTCGCTCTCTCTCTTTCTCAATGTTTTTCATTCCTTCTATTTCGAAATATTGCTTCGCTGCAAGCTTGAGTGTTTCACCTTCAAGCGAAAGTTTCAAAAAAAAAAGATGTGAAAGAGAAAGAACTAATTCTTAATCTCTTTGTTATTTGAAAACTCATCAGATGAAGTACTGTACGAGCGAACTGCAAAAGAAACGTTTTAATCAAATAATTGGTTTATCGTTGAAAGATAAAAACAACCATAAAAGCCTTTGCTTACTTGTATTTCTTAGCCATTTATACTCAATCTCCCTCGCTTTCCTCTTATACACATGGTCGTTCGTTCAGAATAAGATGGAGAAACTGTTCAAACTGCTCTATCGCCATACCCTCAGGCGATTTGTTATTGTGTGGAACTATATGGACAATCATGTCTGTCTGGACTAACAGCCCTACAATCCAACTGCAAAGCCAGAAGGTTGTTTTGGGAGGAAAAACAGACTCTTTGTTCTCTCTCATCATTTCAATCACTTTCACACATCTTTTCATTCTTGAATAGTTGTGTTCGACGTCGTCCTCGTTCTGTCCATGATGTGACGACGACGAACACGGAAAACATACCCCTTTTCGACCCCCCTCCCCACATCAGGATTTGAAGAGAAAAAAGATTGTAAACCCATAGAGAGAGAAGAAGAGAGAGAAAGAGAGAACTCGAAAAGGAAAAGTATAGAAGGGAATCGATTAGCTTCAAACCCTAAAATGAAAACAAGCTCAAGAGGCACACAGTGTTTCAGCTTCAGATGTCTATAAGCTCACCGTCAAAACAAGATTTCACCCAGGGCTTTCTCTCTTTTTCTTTCCCCTTTTACTTTCTCTCCATGTCTTTTGTTTTCTCTTTCAGTATACCTCTATGTTCTCTTCTTCTTCTCCCTCTCTCTCCCTCACAAACCCCTCTCTCTCTTTCTCTCTCTCTCCCTCCTTTTTTAAATATATCTTTCTCTTTTTACTTCCCTCTCTCTACATCTCTCACTCTGTTTCAGTTCTTTCTCTTTCTCTACTCTATTTTCAATACAGTTTGTTCATAAAAAAAGGCTATTGGAATACACGTGATTATCCTCATCAAAATTGTTGTTTTTTGAGAGAAAACACAAGTTTCAAAGAATGCCAAAAAAAAAAAAAGAATCAGCATGTTTCACAATCAAATACAAAAGCAAGAAAATTGGATGAAAAAAAAGAAGAAAAAAAAAAAAGAAAAACATACCAAAAGATTTTTTCCTGTCACGATAATTGGGAGCACATTCAAGCATATTTGATGGTTCAGTTAAAGAGTTTCTGGTTCCTAAGACAATAACACGTGAAACGTTGGACGTTGATGGCGAAGAAGAAATATTATAAGAATTTTCATTTATAACAGCGTTTGACGTTGTCAATGAAGAAATTTCATGAATACAAGCATTTTCAGCTTCAAGTTGGTTCCTAGAGTCATCAGAAGCTGTCATACTATCATCAGCTGATGATAAAGCATCTGATGTTGTCAGATTTTGAGGATTAATGACTAAAATGGCGGGATTTTCAATTTGTCTGCCATCAGGCAAGATGATAGCAGCATGTGACGGCAGCACTTCTGCATTATCTGTATAGACTTCATAATTTCTTCTTGAAGCTTCAGATAATGAAAAATTAGGAAATGTTGTAAAAAGACTTGATGGAAGAGAAGAAAGTAACGAAGAACTGCAAAACAAGCTACTACTACTACTGTTGTTGAGGCTGTCAGCCGGCAGGCCGTTCGTACGTCCCACTGCTGCTATCTGACGATGGGGGCGGAGTCTGGAGAAAGTGATCGACGAAAACAAACGACGATTGTTGATGGCGACGGCACTATTCCGACTCCAGATGGATGACGGAAACGGTCCAACTGTATCGCCAGCTTCTTTAGCTTCATCTTCATCAAGCACTTCATCGCTTTGGTGAGTTTTATTAGATGGTAATGCTCCGCATAAAGCACGTATAGCTTGTAAGTGTTCGTTTATGTTAATTTCTCCTCTTCGCACTCCATGTTTTCTCGTTGGTAATAGTACAGCAGTTTCTTCTTTAGTGTGTTCATTTGTTCCTAAATTGCTAATGATATGATCTTCTGAATCAGCTACAGGACAGATAGCTGCTTTGATATCTTTCATTAAGTCTGCTGCATCGTTATCAACATGATCCACATCTTCTTCAGATTTAATACCATCATCTTCTCCTTCAGTCTCTCCTTCCTCGTCTGGCAGTATTTCTTGTATTTCAGCTGCCAGAGGGACTGCAGAAGATGTCTTCTTACCGTCCCAGGATTTTTTCAAACGCTTTGATCGAGCCAAGTTAATTGATTTTGTGAACTTGATCAAATCATATAAGTGACGCAGACAAAAGAAGCCTCAGATGAATGCGTCGACTGAAAAAACTTGATTTTGTAAAAGAAAAAAAGGAGAGAGTGTATTTCAAATTAAAAAAGTTATTTTAAATAAACATTCGAGAGAATAGGATATAAAGAGAGATAGAGAGAGAAAGAGATATCGAGAGCGAGAATAGGAAGGGAAAGTTAGAGAAACAATAAGAGGAGAGATAAGGAAGAGCGAGACGGATGAATGAGTCTAAGGAAAGGTATGGTAAGCTAGAAAAGGAGAAAGGGAGAGAGGAAGAGAGAGAGGGACCGTTAGGAAGAGATGTATGGAGGGAGGTAGATGAGAAGAGACAAACGATACAAATTATGTGTGCAGCTTAAGTACAAAAGTAGACAATATATGAATAATTAATTGATTATCTAACGTTTGTTCGAAAACTTGCAATTGCAGGACTGGAGGGGGGGGGGGAAGGAAGAAATGTTTTTTTTTAAACGAAAAAAAAAAGAATAAAAGGCTGTCTCTTTATATCATCATGATGATATTGATTGTTTTGGCTTTAGTCAATGACCTAGTATGGCATAATATTGAGCCTGCCGCAGTCAATAATGAAAAGCATTTTTATTTTATTAAAAAAATGGATGAAGCTCAAGAATAT